AACAGACAGACGTGCGTTTTTTGTAAATCCTTTGTATATGTTTCAATCGCTTGTGCAGAAGTGTTTTCGATACGTATCTACTTTAATTTATATGTCAGTATGTATTGAATTATACGGGTATATACGAGTATAACAATGGTACATATTCGTTCATACATATATATTCCGAACAGTATGTCCACGCATACTTTTGGTTAGCTTGGCATAAATTGCTGGCTGATATTCAATGATGTAGCCCAAATGTATCTTTGCCACAAGCGGAGAACGAGAATGTCGGGTAAATAAACCTAATGAAATAGTATAGCGGAGTCGTAAAACAATTGAGCAATTTGTGGCAATGAAATCGATTTTGTGAAATAATAAAATACTTAGTTTGGTTAAGGAAAATACTTATTCCTTTAAGCAATCTGCTTTAAGAGATATAAAATACATATAACAAGTGTGGAGTGTAAAATAAGCCAAAAAAAAAAGTGAAATCCAACAGATTTTTCCAGGCATATTTTGATTGTTGAACTCTTATGTTCGGAAAGGAATTGAAAGAAATTGATGGCTCTAAGGACATGAATTAAAGTGCTCTTCTCTAAACAATGTGCACTCGATTTTTGTATTAATTTTCAACAATATTTACAACGAAAAATGTATTTAATATCAACACTCAGACAACTTCACAAAACATTTTGACTTGACTTTCTAATTGATTCGCAAGCTCATATTTTGTAGAATTTTACTTGATGTAAGTATCAATTTCTGACTGGTGTTTTCTTAAGTACCTGAAATTTTTCCGAAAATTTGATATTTAACAGGACTTCTGCTTAACACTTACATAAGCTTCTAATCTTCTTATATTTTTTTTTGATAGTTTTGGTACGTGCACATAAGCTTAGAACCTAAGAACATTAAATCCTCTTCAATTTAGATTGTTTATGAGTTGATATCTTAAGTGATTGTAGATACAAAATGTTTTTAAAATTGCAAAATATTTCCGTAAGGTTGTGAAAAAAAAACATTCTGTTGTTATTGAATAAATCAGTTTATAGAAAAACTATAAACGATTAAATTTAATTCCATATGGAAGCACTTAAATGAAAGTACGTAGCCACAGTATCTTAAATACAGCATCTTACGCACATTTCATTGTGGCATATAATACCTACACTTAATATACAATTCTGATAAATTGCAAATATATATCAATCGTAGCCTTAAGTTACATATTCAGATACTATGAATTTACTTTAAGACGATTATATACATCAGATAGCAATTAATAGGATTGTGTGAATCTAAGTTGCTTACGGCTTAACTGGAGTATTTGATACTTTTTTTTGGTAAGCATTAAGCGTATATAAAACAAGAAAAAATTATTCAACAGAAATTGATTTTTATGTACCCGTATATAACCTCCAGACAAGCTATTATATTTAAATAAAATATACTTCAGTGTAACTAATTATCAAATATGAAAGCTACTTATTTAGTATTTAGATAATTTCAATTGGAATTTAAAGCAATTAGTTCACACAGGATTAGAATTAGATTTATTAGAATAAACTAATTTCCTCTCCAAAAAAATATATCCTAATATAATTGCTTGGATTATAATTTATAGTTCATATAAAAACTCAATTAAAACTTTTTTAATATTGTTTATAAACTTTGAAACCACTGATGATGGATATTTGATGATATCTGATATAGGTGTAACATATAGTCAGTCCAGCAATAAATTTGATAAAAATTTTATTAATATATTTGTTTTAAATAGCACAGAAACGATTTACATTATTTAGCATATAACAAACTTACTTTAGGTTAGGCCTAGGCGTGAGTCTTCGAGTGACTCCATGTAGACGTCTTGATCCATTACGTTACCACATGGCTCTTATTATTTCGATGTTCATCATCATAATAATGAGTTGTTCAGGAGGTTATGGAAAATGAATTACTGATGCACGATTTACTTTCTTCACGATTTTAGATATCAGTTTCGGATAATGCTTTGAGGTCCTCAAAAGACACGTTTTCAAGAAAATGCAACTCCACTCCTTGGCAATAGCTGATATCAATGAGAATAATACATATTAATAAAAGCTGTTTAATTTGATTTAAATAAAGTTTTTTTTTAATAGTATTCTTCTACTCTGCACCATCTATTAATATTGTATCTACCATATTTCTTTTCCTATATTCGAAAGTGTTTCCTCATTTCTTTTGGTTATGAAATCTATTTAAAATTAATATAGATTGCCATGAATGTCAAAAAAATAAAATTTTTTTAATTAAATTATTTACATTTTGAAAAAATTGTTAACTTCTACTTACATATAACAATTCATTCGCACGACATAGTCATACATATATCTCTCCTACTATAAAAGTTGCATTGATCAAAGTAAGTAATTTGTTCTTAAGTAAAAAAAAACAAAAAGTCTATATTTTTCTAAACTTCAACAAAAAAGAAAATCGTAATTGATAGCGCTGAAGGTTTATGTCTGGCAGTACTAATACTTTTGCATGCTGAGTAGCTAACATTATAGAGATCTATTGTGTTCTTCCTGGAGAAAAAGCCTCTAACATACCAGTACAAAATAAACAACTGATCAACCTAACAATATCTTTTGGTTCAAGATTCTGGACCACATCCAGCTTAATAAAAGTCAGATAAGCAAGCATATAACGCAAGCAGAAAGCATATACGAATGCTTCTGTCTAAATTTTCGTAATCTGCTAGTGTTAATTATTTTTAATTACAATTTTGAAAGGTAGTAGTATATAGAAGTATGTCTCGATAGGAAATCGCTGATTAGGATCAGAGCTATTCACATTGTATTAATGAAGTCATATTGTATTATGTTAAGCCTTTGGCATTAACCCATTCTCCTATTATAAGCAGAACCAAAATAGTTACCTGCGTTTGTCAGACAAGTATTAATTATGCGTTCTATATAATCAACTTAAATACAATTGATCGAATATGAAAGAGATTTTATGACTCTTTAATCTTATCTTACCTTATCAATCTTATTGAGCCCTTGCATATAACATAATCCGTGACATTCATATTGTTTTATTGAGAATTTCAATTGTACTTTTATAAGTGGATAAAAATGTGATTAATATATATTAACGAAAAATTTATTTAATTTTATTAAAGAAAGATTTTTAATTCTACTCTTTAAGTCTGAAGCTTATTGCAAAAAAGTTTTAGACATTTTACTTTTCACATATCGAAAGGTGATACCTTTTTTTTATTTTGGTTATCAAATCGATTTAAAATTAACATGGGTTGCGATGAATGTCAAAATAAAACTTTTTGAATTATATTAAGTGAAAAAAAAATAAAAATTCTATAACCTCTATTTACATTTACTAACTCGTTCCCAGACATCACTTATATAAAAAGAAGCTGCTTGAACATAGTAAGTCAATTCTGGAATTGAACTACATTAATACATACCTAGATATAATATATTATTATCTTATAATACAAAAAAAAAAACTTAAGACTTTTCTAAGCTCCATTTATGATGTAAATCGTAATTACTAGAGTAAGAGTTATTGTGTTGGTGATATCTGAGTATAAGTCTCTTTGCTTATTGACTTAATGAAAAATGGGTCAAGTATACATACTAAGAAAATTTAGCTCTATTGTATTTCTAAGGAAAGTGTCCTAAACTAACCTGAACAAATTAAAATGATTAATAAATATACCCAATATGGCTTCGTCGAAGCGTGAAGACCTCATTCAGTTCAATGAAGAGCAGGCAAGGTTTTGGCTTGGATATGAGAGTGTGATCTGATATGATAATAAGCAGACGCTTCACTTTGCATTTTTGACAAGCGGTAGATAGCAGGAGAATGTCTAAGAAGTTTAAATTGATTTGTAAAAGATATCAAATCATAAGGTTATAAGGAGAATGTCTAAGAAGTTTAAATTGATTTGTAAAAGATATCAAATCATAGGCTTATTTATTAATTAACATAATTTTTGATTATATGTTCTCCCAATTTGGGATGTTGTGAAATAAACAGTTTGGTATATCTTTTAAATTTCAGTGAAGTATGACTTTAAATATAATATTATTAATCATAGATATCATAGTTTTAATATCAAATATTTACTTCATTAAATAAAATTTTTTTTTTATCTGAAACAATTACAGAAAAGTTTGTTGCAGGATATAATCATTACCGCTGTCACTCAAATCTGTTACCAATAATATTAATACTTTTGTGTATTACTCTATACTTTTGTAAATATGTAAATTTGTTTTTAAAATTGATCAATTTTAAAATCTTATAATATATTTTATAGGTCCGTACTGAAGATAACGTCACTAACCATCACTCGTCTCATTTTCGTTGTAATAATCCAAGTAACTATTGGTTGCTCAGTTTACACAGAGTTCTATTAAGTATTCGGTAAGTTACATTATATCCAAAATATATATATATTCTGGCAGTACCATGCCTTTGAATATGATATATATGTTAACTTAGTAATGTTAACAATTTCCTTGAATATCTTTATAATAACTCTAAAAGATGTACCGAGTTATTAATTTATAATTACATATAACAATAATATACTATTTTAATGGAATCATTACTTGTACATACTACTTTATCAGATAGTAATATTGTAATATTGTTTTATTAGTTAAAGATCTCAATCTAGAATGTATTTGCTGGAATATTAACTTAGTTCATCTGAGTTCGTCTGACGGAAAGGCTTTAAGGATGTCAGTTAAAGTTTTTAGATTTGCTACTAAGTCCATGAAATGCTTTTCTTTCATTAATAAATGAAAAGGTAAAAATCACACTTTGCCCAGTCAAGTAAATGTCGTATGTGATTGATCTTATTAATGATGCTGCGTGTAATTTTCAATAAATTGTAACCATTTGTTGTAACCATTTTTAAAATGTCATTTTAATAGTCCTTACATCTTATTTACTATTAATATATATAATATTAAATAATTAAATAATTAATTTTAAATATTCCAGATTCAACACACCATGTTTGGCAACGGAGTGTGAGTTATTTAATTTATCTACTACTATACTTAATTTATATACATATACATTAAATATTAAAATGTTTTTCTGGTATTTAAAACTGTTAAATATTTTTTCAGTACCATTTCTGTGGAACCAGAAATTAATTATCATTTGGAAAAAGTGAGTAAAAATGTAAATTTAGAATAATAAATAAATATTATTATTTTCCTTAATAAAGTATATTATGAAATAATAATTTTTAAAAAAATGTATTTATTATTACAAAATATTTTTTATTACAAAATTTTATTTATATTCTTTTTACAAATTGTTTATAATGAATTGTAGTTAATAAGAGAAAGCGCTATAGTCGAAGAAACAAATTACCACCAATGTCCGTATAACGCATATCACAAGATCTCTGAAGGGAAACTTCCGGTCCATTTACCAAAATGTCAAAAGTTATATAAATCTGATAATAAAAAAATCTGTCCTTATAATATAACTCATATAATAGATGAGCATGAATTAGAGGTTAGTTAAAAATATTATTTTACTTGCATAAAAAATTAAAAGAAATATTTTAAGGCTCATTTGCTTACCTGTGAGACCCGTCCTATCTACGATCGTTATATGAGATCTCAAAAATTAAATCAAAACAACGATGTACCAAAATTTGAACCTCTTACTTCAAAAACGTCCTGGGATGATGAGCCCCCGGTTTTGACGTACAATCCTCAACAATATTGTTTGGCCAACCCAGTTTGTCGTAGCTTAAAAGGTGCGTCTAGGCTTCGCAGGCTAGCATTTCGAAAATTCGAACGTAAGCGTATAGCGGCCATAAAAGCTCGTATTAGTTCTGAAATTTAGGATTATTTTTTTTTTATCGTTTGGTTAAATTTTGCAATGTTAATTTAGATTTTAGATTTTATTTTTACTCTAATACTTTTCTATATTTTTGTACACATATTTTTATTTTCTAATAATTAGGATTTTATTTGTTTAACGATTACATTGTTTTGTTATGAAAAATAGATATGTATTAGAAGATAATCTAGATTCATTGATTTAACTAAACGAAAAAAGTCTTCCATTAGTTAGTAGACATTTCATCAAAACATCAAAGAAAGAAGTTGAAATTTTGCGTCATTAAGACCTTATCTTGAGTCTTCATTAATATGTATAACTGTCTTTTGACAGTAAAAATCCTATCCATAAGAAACAAAATGATCCCGATAGAATCAAGATTACTATTAGAATTAAAAAAATGTGACCAAAAACTTTGAATAAAATCCATTTTTCATACATTTAGGATAGTCTATAGAATGGATTTTCAATAGATCGATTAAAAAACAATTTCCATAAACTATTTTCGGGATTAATACACAAAAGTTGTTTATTTGATTGATCATTGGTTCTATTACGAGTTACTTTTTTCCTTTCGTTCGAAGTTTTGATAATCACTAATTGATGGTAGCAACGCATATTGTTGAGGATTGTCGATTTCACTGGAGCTCAAAAATACCGACGTGATTCGTATGCGGCTAAATATTGAAGTAAGCAAATTTAGACATTCATTTCATTTGTTACGGGTCAGTTTTTTGGAGTCATTACGATCAAGGTAACAATCTTAGCAGTTGTAAGATTGTGGCATGTGGAGTACAGAAATGTGGTCGGTTTGCCCTAGTGACTTGCTGACAGTGCAGCATCATGCATCTGCATCTTCTCTCCTGCAGTATGAGTATCAGCAAGTCCAAATAATAGCTGATTGGACTTTCAAATGATAAAGGTAATCTTAGAAATATTAGAAACATACTAGTAACAAAATAAATTGATAAACTTTACTTTCATTTTATATAATATGAAAACTATCTTTTATTTAAGTCTAAATACTAACGACGATTGATGACACCGAACTGTCGTATAATTCAACATTCTAATACCTGGGAAAGGTTAAGATATTTAACGCTGTTAATGTATAGTTAAACATGCTTTGTGGGTGCACTTACCTACGATGATTTCGGCTCTGTTTCATATGCCTGCCTGGCATATATGTGGATCCTCACCAACGAATTTATATCAAATGACATATGGCATTGACATTGATGTGCTAGGTTTTTCCACGCGATAATATCATAGACTGAAAAATGGTAGCAAGAAGCTGGTGCTGCTGCAGCGACAACGAATAACTTACATGAATTCGTCTTAAACTTCTATTGAAGTCCTTCTCAACTCCTCCAACTATTAAATTGCAGCTGGAGTAAACTGGATTCCAATTCTTTGCTGCGGTTATCACATTGCGATGGGAATTGGTTTCAAATGTGAACTATGTGTGCTTGAGTTATCGCAGATGACAAATACTGCTCATATTTCATGATTGTTCCGTGTCATTTGCTGCGGTTATCACAGCACCTGATTAATCAGGTCTTTTCACCTGATTAAGGTTGTTATTATAGAGGTATTATCACCGATAAATACTTTTGAACTATGGTATGTTGCAATATATTGCAGCGTGATTGTTTTGGCAATCTAATGATTCAAGAGATCGATTCAGAGCGAATTCTCCTATGCTGTACAAAATAACGTATATCGACGATGCTAGATAGCGATGTTGTCGACAAACTCCCAAATCAATAAGTATCTCGTCACCAAACCACTGAAATTTTTATTTTCTTTTGCAAAAATCAAACGATAATGGCTGACTTTTTTCGGTGGTTAGCTTCATTAGGAATCAAGCATGATCTTACCACTTCTTAACTGTGAAAAGTGGAATAAACCTAAGGACTGACTAATAACTGTCAATGTACATTACAATACGGACTGCGCAAGCTTTTCCATGATAGACAAATCAGTTACCTTAATACATTTTTTAATTCTCCATCAAAGATTTTAAAGTAATTCAGTATACGAATAAACGAATCCAGCATATGATGGACTTCTGGTGAATATTTTTTATAAGATATCAAACTTTTTCTCAATGGTTTTAAGTCTTGAATAATAAATCTATACTATTAGTTTTCGAAGCAATGTTTACTATTAAATAAGAGAGCGTATTCAACCTGGTAAATCTGGAAACTCAATATGTTGATTAATACATCTGTTTGTCGGAGAATATCGTTCAAGAGACATTATTAATATCAGTAATTATGAAATCATAGACAAGTGGTAAAGAGGCGAAGGGCAAAGAAAGAGCAGTTATACAATATGGAATATAGGTAATTGTGGACAATTACTTTGTAATTATTAAATAAACAATTATATTTTTAGATACATTTTAATAATTATTCTGGGATAATAGCAACTATCTTTGTGGATATCCGATTTCATTTCACAGCCATTCATAAGTACACACTGAAAACCGGAAAACGAAGTTTTTCTACGTTTTTTTTCAAATGCAGAATCAATTGTGATTGATTTCCTCCGTTTTCTTGTGTATTAGTTTATATATATATATATATATATATATATCATTCATGAGTTTGCGCTATGTTTTGTTATGTCTGGATTATGGTTTTTTATTGATTTGTTTTTGTTTACTTGTTAGTTTTTAACAAATTAAAACATATTTTAATACTGAAGTCCGTTCTATTTATTTCTATCATACTTTATTTTAAAATGAATACTTTGGAAGTATGTATCCAGTTTAATTTTTTTATGCAGCATTTCGTTTTGCAGGTATTTCCATTAGTGCGTAGAATAAGGACATTGCACTACAGAATATAGAGTTTTTAAAGGAATCTTCTTTTTTTTTCAAAGAAAACAATTTCATAAGAAAACCATTTTTGATAAAATATCGTTAACAATCATACTCATCAAGCCTTCAAGAAATGCATCACATCAGGGTTTACAATGAACCATAAACATTGTTGACAATATCTTTTCCTAAACGAATTATGGTCAGTGAAGTTCCTAAGAAGGTCGTTTTTTGACAAAATATCGTTGACGACTACATCCACTGATGGAGTTAAAATCATCAAATATCAAGCTTAGCAAAGTATCAATATTGAAAAAAATATTTGTCAAAAATTGAAACCTTTTTTGATTCTTATGAAATATACATCCTCATACACCATGTAGATTTAGAAGTTTAATTAACCTTTAATTTAAAATATCCATATCTATAAATCTTCATATGCAAGTGTTCATTATCGTCATCAGTGACTTATGTTTTCATACTTTCTTTTAAGAATTGGAATAAAGTAGACTTCTCATTATTAACGATTTTACATTAAAGTATCAGATGACAAATTTAAGCACTCTTGACTATAGCAAGTACCACCAATTGGTTAACTTAATATCCCAAACGCAAGTTCTTCTTTGATTTGATACTGCGTTCCAATGGGTATTATCATCCTTGAGTTCAGAATTTTTTGTTAACTCAACGCTTAAGAGTAAAGAATTCACTTAGGAATACTAAAAACATACGTTACAATCTTAATTTTGTAGTCAGAAACTAAAACGAACGAAACATTTACAAGTTTTTATGTAAAATATGCACATGGGAATTATTTTTAAACGTTCAGACATTTTTAAGTGTCCATTTAAAAAATTTAAATTTTTAAATAAGTAAAAAAAATAAATTTGATAAGAATATTCAAACTGTTTACAAAAGAGCTGCAGCCTGTTGCCGGGCATAACAGGGTATACCCGGAGCACAGAAGGTTTATTAATGTATCAGTCAGTTTGAGTTTATACAACACAAAAATTTTAAAAAAAGGATATACATTGTGTTAAAACTGATTTAGTTGATCAGTTTAAATACTATTAATAAGTGTGAAATCTATCTTACAATTAGCATTAATAGAACATTTCATGTTTTCATTGAAAATATTAAATAAGCATCATTCTAGCTAAGTTAATTTTTTAATAGCTAAAAAAGCCTTTCAGATTTTATTTAATAACTTACTTGAGCAGAAAAAAGATATCAATATAATTCTATTATTAAAACATTGTTCATACGCCAGATCAAGAGAACCACCAAAACAGGTATAAGGACGAAAGCAGATGCTTTGAAAACAACTGTGTATAACACTCCCATTTAGATAAAAATAAACCAATCTGAGAATTTTTGAAGTTTTCAAACAGACAGAGATGTTTTCTACTTTTTAGAATTTAATGATATATTTTATTTTGCTAACAGATTATATATAGAAGCATTTCAGTACCCTAAGATGTTAAGCTTTCGGAGCGCTTGTCAGCTAGCTTTGAGAATATATATAAATGTCCACAGCAATCGTCTTCAGCTGCTTCAACTTTGTGCAAATCTTCTATTGTCGCATACGTTAAGTGTACTACAGCAATTGTGTCCATTTAAGATATTCTTCTATGTCTCTTTCTTCTAATTATGTCTCTAATACGTTATTAGGTGAGGCATTGTTTTTTAGATTCATAAGATGACTAT